CTAGCATAAAGAGGCATTCATTCGACTGTATTAATGCCGATTTCTCAGTTATTACAATGGATTTTCTTATAGACATAGTGGGTTTCAAAACTTCCTTGAACGAATTCGTATTCAAGAAGATTGCTGTTTGACTTCTGGAAGAAGATCAAGCTCCATCAATGCTTCTGTTTAAATCACCTTACCCATGGGAGTGGTTAATAAAAAAATCAATTTAAAAACCGGTGGTTAGCAAGAAATTTTCACGGTATTCCGTGGGAATCTAGCGATTTACCGTACAATGACTTTGGAAAAATATTGAATAAAATACTTTATGGAGCAACCATTTTTGTCAAAGGTCTTGAAAAAAGAAAATAGTTAAGAAATTTGTTTACCAATGCACAGTAAGTTTCTTTTTGACGCGTATCATCGTAAAAAAAATTACATTTATATTGCAAATGATTATTTTTCCTTTTTTTCTTTTTTCTTTTCTTACAGAACAACTGCCGTTAACGTTAAAAGAATTGGGTTGTCCATTACTCAAGAAACTCAACAAACGATAGTATTTCCGTATGCAGTAACCACAATGCGTATCTATCGAATCCACCATGTGCCTTTAAAAACGCGCTGGCTTTTAGTAGATGGATGCTCGCTCCCAAAAGTCGTGATGATATGTTATTATTTTTTATATTGAAGTTTGAAATAAATAAAAAAGCAAAAATAACATATTAATCAATTCTTGTTTTTTACTCATTTCTTATATATATATATATATATATATAAATTTTAGAAATGTGTATTATTGATTTTTTAAGTTTCTTATATATATATATATAAGAAATAAACAAATCACATTTCCAAAATTTTTAATTAAATTGAAGAGAATTATTCTTTATTAAAATAAAATTTAACATTAATTACAAAATAGTAGATTAAAAGAGAAAAAAAGTACATAAATTTATTTGAAAAATAATAGGCACTTATTGTAAGTTATTATTAAAGTTCTTGTTCAAAATGTCTTTCATTTTTTAGTTAACAATGTCCTATGCGATCATAAAATGCTGAAATTGTCCTTTAAATCATATCATTTGGGATCGTCTAAATCGCATCAACTATGTGTTGCCTTAATTCCTCCAAGTTGGTTTTGTAACATAAACTTTATTTTTGACGTAGCTCTACAAAAAGTAATCTAGTCGTAACAAATCAGATAACGTGATGGCCCTTAATACTTCCTCTCGGTCCAATCACTCATCCTGGAAATATTTTATTTAAATAATTTCCTACACTTCTTGCATAATGAGGGGGAGCCCTATCTTGTTGGAAGTAAGTGATGTTAAAGTTATAGTCGACAATTTCATTTATTGTAGGTACAATTTGATTCCTCAACATTGCTGACGAATTCCCTGCAATGAATAATGGCCTTACTATTCTATTATTTGTTATATGTGCCTAAACATCTAGTTTCTGTGGATGTTGTGTATATGAGTCCCATAACCAATATGGATTCTCCGGTATCCAGAACCCAAAATTATGAGGATTAACGTTGCCATCGAACTGAAAGGTACATTCATCGGAAAAAATTATTTCATTTAAAAAATATTATCTCGCATCTATACGGTTCATCATTAATTCTGCAAATTTCCGTCTTCGATTGAAATCATCATCATTCAATTCTTGTACTAATTTGATTTATATGGATGAAACTTCAACAGTTTCATTATTTTCTGAACCTAACTTCTATTAACATTCCGTTCATAAAATACCTGCCTGATATAGGTTACAAGATTCTCAACGAAAGATGATGCTCTATTCAATGAGGTTTCCTCATCAGTTGCTGTCTTTGGCCTTCCACTTTTGGGGCGATTTTTGACAATACCAGTTTGCTCAAAACAACAAACAGTTCCTCCTACTGTTTTTTGTGAAATTCCTGGTTGCAATGGTATACGATATTCTGCGTTGAATATAGCTGCAACTCGCCGATATGAACTTCAAATACTTCAAATTTTTGCAGAGCTTCGCAAATTTTAAAAACTTTTGCTAATATTTGAAAACTTGATTGAATTTAAATTCTTGCATATTTTCAATTTGTCCAACTTTATAAATTATTACTTAAAGATTTTGTATATTACGCACTTTTATGCAAATATACGCATGTTTGCAGTTACTTAGAAAAAATGTTGAAGGTCATGCGCAAAAAATTAAAAAAAAAGAATAATTTTGACCTTTTCAAAAATGTAACCTAAAAATTTTCTAGGTTAATGAGGGGGTTACGGGAGAACGGATGGGGGTTATGCGAGATTATCTAGACTCAAAATTTCCCGTTCTTTTGATTTCTGTTGTCAAAAATAGGGGTTCCTATTTAAAAAAAACAAAATTGACTTTGAAATGACATTGACAGTCATGCTCAGAATCGGATTGATGTGATTCCGTCAAATGTTCTAGTTTGAGTATTACTCAAGAAACGACATATGGATTCTTACTGGCTCAGGAAATATCGAGTTTGAGGTTATGGAGTTTCAGCAGACTGATCACTGTGCTATATGCGGACTCTCTTACTTTTGATGTTATTATGTGTGCGTATTTATAGGTATGAGAAGTGAATATTGAGTTTCGTGTTATTATATGCTTATAGTAGAATGTTCAGATCCAACATTTTTCAAACGACGATATCTCCGTTAAAAAAATTATAAAATTAATTTTGAATATTGAGATTTGTAGCCAAAGAGTTGCTCTGTTAGGAACTGTGGTCAGAATTGCCCAGAAAACATCCTTTGTCATGTTACAGGTGGTCAAATATAACAAAAAAGCGCATTTCTAATGCTTTTAGGTTAAGATATCCGGAAAACCAAATGTGTAATGAGCTGCGAGATGGTAAAAGGCACAAGTCTTGATGTTGAATTGATATACGAATCTCAATACTATTTTTGAACGATGAATTAGTGTAGGGTTGATGAGCGTGGATCTCGTAATGAGCCAAAGATTCATCGAAGACGACAGGTGACTGTATTTCTAGAATGCTCTCCATTGTTTCGTTGAAAGCAGCAAAAAAAAATTTGGCAATTTATTTTCCACCAGGGACTACTCTTAACCCAAGACTTTTTAGGAACTTTATGCTTTGACGTGTTAAAGCTTTCGCTTTCCGATGACGATTAATGACTGGAGTTCGCCATGTTGACGTTTTAAATTTCAGTCGACGACTGATGGTGGGGTTGCATTTTTCAGTGCTTATATAGCCCCTACCACTCTTTGAATCGTAAACAACTCCCATCATACGCTTTCGAGGTGTAATGTGAAAGGTTATGACTTCACCATGAAAATTAATTAAATTTCCATCTTGATCGACGATGCGTTATTGTAAATGATCTACAGACTTTTTCGTAACTGGAAGATAAATCACGTGTGAGAAAATTTAAATAATTTTATATCCAGGCGATACTGCTGGAAAAAATTCGTGAATATCGTGAACGATGTTTCCGTTCAAGTAAGCTCCAGCGGTTATGTTACACTCGACTTTCACAGCATTAACCTTGAGAATACTGACGGGCAGATCAGAGTTGTGAGAAATGTTTGCTTCTAATGTACGTTGTGAAAAACCCAACAATCGTCCGATAGAATTCTGCGGACGAAAATCGTTAGGTTCAGATCATTTTACAATTTATTGTACAATGCAAGGTGTTGTTGTTTGGTTTCAAACTTATTATTATATTATTATTATTGTCAGTGCCGAGACGCTGCACAGCTTTGCGAAGAAATTTATCAATGTCGTCGATCTCATAGGTCCCCACAGGTATGTCGATAATTTGATTTGCGACGTAAAATTTATTATTATGTACGTCGACATTAGGTATCGAGTTGAACGTTAGGAACTCGACTAAGCCCTACTTGTAATATTTATGCTGTGATAGTTCGATTAGTGGGAAATAGTGCGCTTCCAACAGTGAAGAATTACCCAAGAGAGTCAGAGTTAACGAATCCTCCATGACTGTCCGAACATGACTACCAATATTTTCACGTTGCCTTTACTTTTATACCCTCGCACAAAAACTGTAAGCAAACATGACCGCATACGTGAGAATTGAAATCTCGATATCTTTTCGTATTATAGTTGATCTCAATATCACCAAGATACATCATTGAATCAATAGGTGGCCTAAGATCTCCAAAGCTATCGAAATATGTGACGTTTTTTCCGATTTTCCTGTAAGCCACCCAGTGCGTCCCTGTTCCTTCGACGTCATCAAGATTGACTATAGCTGTTTCTTGATAATATGGTCCAAAATTCGGTAAGTCATTTCTCACGAAGACTCCGCGAAAATTTGGTATATTGAAAATTTGAGCATACTTCATCAAGTCGTTGTTTGTGAGGGCTCTATCCGGTGCATTTATTTTGAACTTTTTTTTTTCAAACCTGATCCCAGATAAGATTTGAGATAAAGTCCATAGCCTTTTTTATAAGGTTTGAGATACAAGCTTTTTCCCAGAGTAATGGCCTCCATCGTTTTGTTGTGTCTCTTGTTCTCTCCCAATAGCTGTTTTGCAGACTTTGCATTGTTCACGGCTTTTGTGATTCCCACGGCGTCACCATCTAGAACGCTACTTGCACTCAAGCCTGCAAAAAGTGGTATGAGAAAGGGCAAAGCTCCACCGGAAGGCGAACTCGACCGGTGATGGTGTGATCAGAAAGGAAATTTGCTAATTTAAAAACTCATGGATTTCAGACCACACATGATTTAAGACTGTTGATTCAAACACGCATGAACCTCGGATAATGTGATGAGCTAATGCCCCACACTGAACTAATGCCATCCTAATCTGAGACATTCTGGTTTATCTACTTGAAATATTGTACTTTTACTTTCTTAAATTGACATATTTTTCTGCCTTAGTTTAAACAGTTTAATTTTGATCTAATTAACGAAAACTTGATTACTGAATAACATATTATTAACAATTTGTGATTTGTAAACATATGTCGTAAATAGAAAAATTGAAATATCTTATGAATTTTATCTATATCCTTGCAGATGCCATAATATCAACACTTATTCTTTTTCTTCTGTCAAAATCTGCAATATCAGCATCATTTCTTATCATATATCCTTTCGCTGGTGAACTATATCCAACGCAATTGAGGGGTGTCGCAATAGGATTTTCAGCGTATATAAGTGGATTGGGTCTAATAATCATACCATTTATTACTTACTTGGTAATGTATTAATGGAATTTCTACTTTCATTCTAATAACCTTATCGAAACTTACCACATTTGAAATGCAAATTTAAATCTCTGTGACTTGAATAACTTTTGAAATACTTAAGTTACTGTAAAATTTAAATTTTACATTTTTTTTTTAATAAGTCTGAAAGCGGTAATGTTAAAATTGTTAGTATTATCTTAAAAATTCAATTATTTTGAGATGAAATTACAACTCTGAAAAATTAAATGTAAAATTGTTTTTGTAATTTAAAAAATAATGAATCTCAATGCCTTGAATGATTTTCAAATGAATCTTATCTTACATATATTATCAAATATTAACCAAAATTTCCGTAAATCTGACATTATTGTGCTGTCAGTTCGAACTAGTGCGGCAGAGCTCGTTTTTATACCTGTGACGGAGAAAACCGCTTAGTAGCGATTTTCCTGTCATCTCTGGCCTCTCGCTGTCTGCCCGCGCTGTCGTTAAGCCGGCCAACGATGTAATTGCGTTCGCGCATTGCTAATACCCGATTTGTATGATCTGCGGACTAGCAGCGTAGGGATCTGAAGATAGGTGAGCTGTGTAACTGAGAGTAAGGAATCACGCGGGAAAGGGAGAGGAAAAAGAAAATAAAAGAGAGTGAAAGAAGAGAGAAAGAGAAAAGTTTTGATCAACAGATTTAGCTAGGTGGGTAGCCGATAGTAGCAGCAAAAGAAGCAATTTAGCTTTAGCGTCGCAGATTGCTGTACAGCTCTGGGATTGGATTTGGTTCGTTGGTGATTGGTTTCGCGAGCCAAGTTGTCCCCAGCCTCTGCATCATATTCGTCAGCATTTTGCTTCATCACAGCATTTGTTTTCTCTCTTTCGCTGATTTCCGTTTATCACCAGTGTATGCATGAAAACCGCGGTGTCTAAGACTTCAGACGATCTGCTGTTCCGTGGTGAACAAGATTGCAACTGCCGAGCGACCTTGGTTGTTCGAGTCTTTCAAAGAATCTTATCTTACATACAGGGTAAGGAAAAAGTATGGAAACCCCGGAAAATTCGAAAAACCGCATGAGGTTAGTCATGAAACAAATGTTATACCCTATGTAACCTTCAACGAGGAACCCAACGGTGACCTCTGATTTGATCTTGAACCTCATTTTCAAGGTTATTTCAAGACCAACCTCAGTTTTTCATTTGAGAACCCCTATTTTTTATACTGGAATAAAAAAGGGCAATAAATTTTACGGGTGGAAACAATTCAAGTTCGAAGATATTGTAACTCCTAATCCTCCTTTTAGCGCTATTCAGGAATAACGACGTGGACGTAGAAAGAATCTGTTCCCTTCGGGGTGCTTTTTTATAGTGAGTTCCCCTTGCCTCTTACTTCGGGGAGCTTTTTAATAGTGAGTTCCCCTTGCCTTTCACGTAAATGAATTAACAACAGATTGTGATAGAGCTGATAGTGATGTTCACTAGCCTTGTGCGCGACACTCTCCTCGCACGGATGTAGTGGCCGAGCGTGGCTACGAATGACATAGCATTCACGCGCTCGTGTCGTTGCAGGGCCTGGAGAGGGGAGAGCGCAGCCAGCGGAGAAGAGCGCGAGAAGGAGCGAGAGCGCGAAGAGCCTGAGAGAGAGCAAGAGAGGAAGAGGAGCAAGCGAGAACGTGAAAGCGCGACTCGCGTCGCGAGAATTAGGAGAGCGCTGGAAGTATTGAGGGCAGTTGAGGATTGAGGCTTGAAGTATTGAGGGCAGTGATCACGCGAGCGGTTGGTCGAAATCGCGTTTTCTTTATGACAGAGGCGGTGCGGTACTTTGGTTGACCTGTGTATTTTCGGCGAGTTCGCTGAGCTAAGGGTAAGTACCGGTGAGTCGCTGAGAGAGTCTAGGATTATATTTTAAAAGTGAAATTTCTTTGTCGTTATGTCGTCAACACGCTAGGCTCTAGTTACGCCAAAGTTCGAACATTCCGAGAAGGGCAACAGCGAGAGTCGTGTTGTTTACATTGCACAATTTTTGTTTCAAAAATAATTTGAAATTGAGCCTGGAGTTCGGGGCGTCGAGGCGAGCCTAGTGTTTTGGCTAATGTGCATGATTTGCGTGTATTGTGGATGTGTGTATTGTGTAATTTAAGCGTGTGATTTGTATCATTGCTTCTGGCTGCTTGAATTTAAGTTTACGTGGGCTAAACGAACTGTCGAGCAGCGATTAAAATTTTATGTTGCGTGTTCGCACCAAAGTCACCGCTGCTAAGAGACTTAGTGTGCGCGCGGATAACTGTTGCGAGTCGCATAGCAAATTCACAGCGGGTTTTTTGTTTACGCTGTACTAGGCGTGTAAGACGATGCCTCTAGCAAGTTCGCCGAAACGGCCGAAGCCAGGCGAGTCGCGCGCGCAACTGGAAACCTTTAGGCCATGAGTTATGAGATAACGCCGGAGATAAAGGAAGTATGGGAGCGCGTGCGAGAGACATGTTTAAACGATCTGTTAATATGGATGTCGGCCCGAGGCCTAGTGACAGAGGGAACAACAGCAACCATGCAGGATAGTGCATTTCGCCTACTTCTATTTAGCGCGCGCTACGAATCGGCACCCCCGGTGAAAGCAGAGGACTACGTAGCGGGCGAAATCCCGACAACCGTTGACGTGACGGCCGTGTCAGCGGCGCGGGATGATTCGTTATTGAAAGCTTATGCGCGCAGCGGTGGTGGCGCGGCGGACGACGGGCGAGGACTCACAAGGCAGTGACGCGGAGCCGTCAGAAACGCGTACTCACGTAACCGACGGTATGACCGCGAACGAGGAGCCGCTGAGAACAAATGTGAGGTCAGCGCTGAATCGGTCGGCACCGGTGAGCCTCGCGCGACCGGAGGGCCTTGCCGACAGACAAACCGAGGCGGCACAGGTGCGCAGAGAGCAGCGACCGACTAGCTTCCATGGGCAGGAGCCGTCAATATGGCGCCGCGCGGTCAGCTTAATTTGGCCAGTGCGAGAAGCATTGCCGGTGCCCGAAACGGGAAACACCGAACGCCAGGGCGAAGTGAATAATGCACCTGAATATGGGAGGACGCGCGGCCCTAGAGACACTAGTACACCGGCGCGTGGAACGGTCAACGCGAGGCCCGTGGCGAAACGCGAGTCGACGCAGTTGGCCACCCGGGCGCGCGAGAATGCGCGCCCAGCACCAATGAAGAATACCGCGATGAGAATGCGCCAGTATAAAGATGAAAAGGAGGAGTCAGAGCAGTCAGAGTCCGACGAAACGAGCTATGACTCAGCGTTCGAGGACAATGAGGCGTGGAGGCATGACTCCGTCGACGATGGTTACTTAGGAGAGCCAAAAGCTCGGTATATCGATGGCCGACCGGCAGACGCGGTGTCAGTGTTGAAAAAGTGGTCGGTAGTATTTACTAGAAAGGGCGGAATGACGGCGGAACAATTTCTCAAACGACTGCACGAAGTGCAATCTTTTTATTGATTTCGCGAAGCGGAGATGTTATCGGCGTTAATGACCGCATTTACAAGCTCGGAGATGATGCTTTGGTGGGAGACAAATCGTCCGAGTTGGCGAACGCTGCGCGAATGCACGGATGAGTTCCGACGAAAGTTTTACCCGCGACGCTCGTGCGAGGACGTGTATGACGCGCGGCGCCGCCGTACTCAAGGCGAGTGCGAGCCGCTGGGTCAGTACCTCAAGGTTTTCCTTTATATCGTGGGTAGGCTGGAGCCGGAACTTTCGGAGCGGCGTCAGCTCGAACTGATTAAAGTTAATTTTTATCCGACGCAGCGGAAATTTATCAGGTCGAAGAAGGTCAAAACGTCGGTAGAGCTGCGCACGTGGAGAGAAAAATTCGAAAGTCGGCGCGACATCGATGATGTATATCGACCACCTCCAACGCCGCAAGAATCGTTGATACCGGAGGTCGCGTACCGAGGTAACGTGGCGAAAGAAAGTACGAAACCAGGCATCAGAAACGCGAGCCTCGCGGTAAGAGATACAGTAGAGTGGGCTCCAAGATCTATAATAATAATACGTTGAAATTATAATACTTCACATAATTTCTTCACGTCCAAATTTAGATTTATGTAAAATAATTAACTATGAAATTTCGGTAGTATCTCTCAGCCAGTAATTAAATTTTAAACTAGTTTAAGCCGTTTGATAGACGCACTACAATTTATTAAGCAATCAATGTGTATGGAGAATATGTATAAAAATATATGTATAACAAAAAATTTCAGCTTATAAAAATGACATATTACCTTGAAATATATTTGTATCGATAATCTATAATGGCATACCAAAACGTATTCAAGCGATCACTTCAAATAAATTTTTGACTACACTATTCTACTTAACAACAAGAAAATCATTTAATTCTGGAAAAAGGTGGGATATAAAAATAAAAATATTGTATTTATATTTTTTCCAATTAAAACATCACAACTTTAATTACTTGCTATCGAGAAGTGGCTGCGGATTATGTGTTGATAATAGACATAATGCTACAGAGGTTAATGGCAATTGGCTATTTTACTTATGCTTATATTTAAAAAAAATCATAGTATTACTTCATTTATAAATTTTGTATTGGAGGAAGACTATAACATTGATTTGTTGTGTGGCAACATTAAACATGATTTTCTCTGATTAAGTTCTGAACAGATTAAATTAGGATATAATTTAATACAAAATTATTCAAGAGATTTTTCATCACCTATTGAATGGAAATTATCAATCAGAGGTATTTTATAACACAATTATTCTAATTTTTTTGAAGAGTTGAAAAAATCAATTGCATAGCTAACAAAGACAAAGAAGAATATGCTATTTTACTTACCACGAAATTCAGCATGATGTTGCCATTGAAGCATCAGCACCACTTCTATCTTCTAAACTAAAATAATGTTAAATATTTGTGTATATAGTATGTGCCTAGATTAACAATCATATTACAGTGTTATAAAAATCTTTTAAGTGTTGAACAAAAAGTAACATACTAAAAAATTTAGATAC